CCACGTGTCCTCTGCACATGGGATGACTATTCCTCTGAATATTCCCCTGAAATTCGGTTAGAGGCTCTTACACACGCCTGTGACTAAGTCGATCTCCATAATACTGCCAATCCATAAAGTGGTCGATCTATTGACAAACGAGATCGATGCCAAATATCCAAATACCGACAAGGTGGTGGTGGAATGCTTGGGAGACCCATAGGACCTAGAGTTGCGGGATCTGCGTTAGCTACTGGATTGGTATTATCCAAATGATCTTGCCCAATGAAATGTATAAATGGTCATATTCGACATTCAGCACGACTACTTCAACTACATCGTGTCTGTCAAGTTTTGGAAATCCCCGTAATTCTACCTATTATATGCTATGCTCAATCAAATTGGTTTGCAGGATTCTTTGATGCGGATGGTACTATTAGTATAGCTATGAAGCATGGACTACCTCAACTAAGTATTCGAGTCACTAATAAACTTCTACAAGATGTAGAGTCTTATAAGGTAGTATTAGGAGGAAGTCTCTACTTTGATAGTAGTCGAAATGGTTACTATCATTGTCTATACAAAGTCGAAAAGATGTTATCATGATGCGTCATTACTTTTTTTTCAAATACTTTCCGAAGTCATAAATCACGACGATTCTTCCTTATTGAGGAATATTACAGTTAATACAAGTCTCGCACCCTGACCGGCTGGAAATCGCCTTAAGCCTGCTCTCCTCGCCGGTTGAACGTGGAACCTGCACGAAACTCCCACACCGGAGGTGTTTTCCGGTGAAGAGCCTCCAACGCTCAAGTCAGATCTTGAGAGACAATATGAGTGTATGAAAAAGTATAAGAGTATATGTGATTGTACCGAAAATGAGGATTCTCGACCTTATTTATAAGGGCGAGTTACCTGACCTGCACGCGTGAGCCAGGCGAGTTCGGCCAAATGTCTTCTGCTCGTCCGTACAGCCGCGCGCCTCCACTATCTTTGGTGTCAGGAGACGCGTCCTCTTTGTCAGAGAATGTCAGAGTCCGTTGCAGCTATGTAGCCACTCACAATGCGCCACGTGTCCTTCCTTTCACGTGTTGGAGATTCCCTTGTGTACTCTGATATTCGACCAATCTTCTGCGACCACGCCTTATCCGACCACTCATGGTGGTTCGTATCTGTCGACCACGTCCGATCTGCTCTCTATTAATTTATTGCTAGCGCCTGGCCTTTCTCGACCAGGTCACTCGACCTTTCCTTACTCAGGTAATCCGGCAGTTCGACCTATTTTCTCCGGTTGCCCTGGCAAACCGGTCTAGTATACAATATCCCATATCATCTAGTCCCCCCATTCTTGTCGAGTTTGAATGACTCGTCCTAAGAGTATTCGGTTTTTGTCGAAGAGGGTTTTACATCTTTATTTTCGACCAGATAGCCCGTTTCTTTCTTCTATGTATTTATTTTCTTTTCTAACCAACTCTTTATGTATTTTTGAATTTCAAATTGTACCACTTGTCCGCCTTTTCCGTCGCGTCCTTTCATCTGCCAGGGCCCATCATTACCTCGTGTCCCGCGCTCCCTCGTACCTTGTGCCACTTTAAGATCTTCATCTCCACCCTTGAAATTTCGCGATCCGACGGCTAGTTTTTCTCCTCCTTTGCCTATTTCCCCTATAAATACTGCTACTTAGACAAATTCTCCTTTTTCCTACTTCTGCCTCCTCGCATAATACCAAGCTTCTCTGCATTTTGTGTTTTCCTGCAACTTCGTGGTTCTCGATCTTTCAGTCGACAGGACATCATTCACCATGAGTAAGTCTTCTTTAACCTTCTATTTATGTTTATCAGCTCTTTAATTTTTGTGTGAACACTCTTCTCCTCGAATTTTTGGTTTTACCTTTCTCTCCCCTCTCTTTTCCTCTCGCGCCTTGTTCCTCCAATTTCTGTTCTCCCACTGTGCCGTATTTTCTCCCTTCTCCTTCTTCTCTCTTGTTTTCTTATTAATTAAAATTTTTCTTCTTTTTCTTCTCTTCCCCCTTTTTTCAGATTCCGCTATTTCGAGCGAAAATGACCGGCACAGTGGCAAGGACTTGACCTCTCCTTCCTCCTCCGCAACTCTCAGTTTATCGAGCGATTCAGTGCAAGAAATTCTTTAGCCTGAGCCAATTTCCGTCCTTCCTCCTGCGACGACCAGCGATAGCCCTACAGCCACTGCTCTCTCTCCTTCCACCTATCTTGTCGACCAGCCTGAAGATGAGGTCACCAGTCGCCCTTCTTCTCCTCCCACCGAGTGTGCTCGTCGAGCTATCGGTCAGGATGACGAGATTGACGACGAGGATGATCCTCAAGACCATGTCCCGCTGTCTGCTCGCATTCCCATTTCGTCGACTATGCCCTCTCACTCCCCTCATCCTAAGCCATCCAAACGGTCCAAA